TCAGCAGAAAAATACATTTGTGCATAAAAAAATAAAGCAAACGGGTAAAATGGTACTATTTGGTAAATCGAGGTGATGCGTATATGAGTGTTTACTATTGTTGCAACTTTTCTGAAGGCTTGAAATTTTTCAAAGTAAAAACGTTGGTACAGAACTAAGTAATTTCCGTTTCAAAAAGAAATTTTCCTTCCTAAGACACGAATCTCATTCTATGCCAACGATACGAATCTCATTCTATGCCAACGATATGTAGTTCTGTGCAGGCAGCGGCGTGAAAAGGCCCCACAGGAGCCATCCCGTCCCTGCCTAACCATGGTATTTATGCCTGATGGAAACCCAAGTCTTCCCATTAAAAAGCAGGATGTACCCATATTCAGTCCTCTAAATTCTGGGAAGAAACGTCCCAACTCATATATGTACGTGGTACAACCAAGAGGTACAGTCCAGCCCAGGTTCTCACCTTGATGTCAGCACCAGAGAGGTCATCTTTAGCCATGATCAAGTCGTCTAGTGTCACGTCATCGGCCAGCGTCATTCTGCTCGTGTGGATCTGGAAGATGCGCTTCTTGGTCTTTTCGTCCGGCAGGGGGAACTCGATCTTCCTGTCAATGCGGCCTGAATGCAGGTAGAAAGGCTTTCACCCACAGCCCTGTGCAGCCCCCGGCTCTGCCCGGCCCAGGAGGAGGTCTTAGCCCATCTCCTCACACGTGCACTTTGTCAGTGTCCTTTGGGAAGGAGTCCAAGTCTTAAAAAGTGAACATTTGTCTTTGTAGTTTGTAAATTTCTACGTTTGAATTCATCCCATTTAAAAAGTTCTCACTGCTACCTTCAGAAACGAATGAAAGGAACAATTCCTAATGGCACAGTTAAGTGCAGAAAAACAGATCAACCCTGTTAAAAAACGTTACTAAAGAGAAAGCCAATTAGCTACTGCTGTTTTGGTGCTACATCAATGTAAAAAATGAACCCGAACTCATATGAATTCTTTCTTCAGGGAAAAAAAAAAAAGTTCTTGAGGCTTAAAAGGGAGCATTTGAGAAAGAAAAGCTCATAACGTAAGACTGGAATTCAAAGAGACAAGCTGCAGAGACTACATCCTGCTCTTAACTATAATTTCAAGGGGTCAGAGTTTGGGTAAGTTATTCTAAATTTCAGTGCAGCATTGGCCTTACATGTATCATTCTATAATCTGACCTGGTCTGATAAGTGCTGGATCCAAAGTTTCTATTCGGTTTGTGGCCATGATAACTTTCACGTCTCCCCGTGAATCAAATCCATCCAACTGGTTCAGCAGCTCCAACATTGTTCGCTGAATTTCCCTCTCACCACCGGAATTTGAGTCATATCTTTGGAAAAGAAGAAAAAGAGAAGGAATGAAGACCAAACTGATCTGCTAAAGGGAAATTACAACAAAATGCCTCAGTATTTTTATCTCAACCCTTATATCATACCCTCAATTACTCCATCAAAAAACATCAGCACACCCTCTCAATTACCAAATTACACGTCACATTATTTTCTTTGTAGCCGTTTTCGTGCCCGAAGTTACTTCCTTTGTCCTATCTCCACGTCTGGTTTCACCCTGACTGTGAGCTCCTTGAGGGCAGAGACTTAGGCTCACGCCTGTGTCCCCAGAGTCCAGGTGATGCCTGGCTCAGAGCAGATGCTTAAGGCATGGTTACTGACTGACCCATCTCCAGAGAGTCACAACTCCTGGGTACCTGGGAGAGCAGCGTCTATAGCAGCCACAGAGGACCACATACAGTAGGAGCTGTGGCACAGCACTTTTCAAAGTCACTCAGGGAGTGCCTGAGATGGTCTGTTCTCAGAGAAGAGCTATGTGGTTTCTACCTCTAAAGGATGCAAAACAGGTTAAAAAAAAAAGTCTACCTTTTTGTCCCAATGGCATCAATTTCATCAATAAACACGATGGATGGTGCGTGTTCTTCAGCGACTCGAAACAATTCCCGAACGAGCTTGGGCCCGTCGCCCAGGTACTTCTGAATAAGTTCAGAACCAACCACTCTCAGGAAAGTGGCTGACGTTTGGTTTGCTACTGCTTTGGCTAATAAGGTTTTACCTATTTTAGATTGAAAAACACAAAAGGAAAAAAACCTCAAGCGCCGTTGTAGCTTAAAAACTATCAGTACCACCTTAAATGGACATCCAAAATGGACAGATTCTACGATGAAAAGGCATGCCGCCATTCGGATGTCTTGACATTCTGTTCTCCCAGTCCCTCCAGCGTGGGCAGTCCCCAGCACAGACCCTTTGGGAATGTGGTTTCACTCAAATGACCCCTCTTCCTTTTAATTTACATAGCAATGAAATGCTAAGTCCTGGATTGCACAACTTACACAGGTCATTTTATTGCACAGAGAACCATATATATATGTGTATTTTTATTTTCACACTCTTATTCATCTAATATTACATTTAGTACCAATGGACCAGGAGAACGGACCTAATCTGAACAGCACAGGATAGCTTTAGGATCAGTGGTTCTCCACCACGGCTCTGATGCTTGCCCACACTCCAGGTGACTACTTCAGAATCTTCAGGGACGGGAAGAGGCATTCGTATTTTTTAAAGCTCCCAAGATGATCTAGTAGTATACAGCCAAACTTAAGCACCCTGTTTTATTTTTTCTTATAAACTTATTTTTAATAGAATCACATTACTTATAAATATTCAAAAGTTTTGTTTTATAGCATATCCACTAGTATTATCAATTGCTTATAAAAGAGAAGTTCTTGGAAATTATAAATGCATGTACACCGAGCAGGCATTTTTTCGGGGGAGTGCCTACTGGTGTTTTTGTTACAAGCCCTACTCTATTTTTAACACATCAACTCTGCAGCCTGCAATTTCAAGTCTAAGATAGTTCAATTTCTTAATACACCTGTTATACAGATAAATCTACTTTTATGTGAGATATTTTTCCAGAGGAATTGCTTATTCGCAAATTCCCCAGTGTTGCTTAGAGCACCTTGTTTTAAATAAAGGATTTGTGGCATCCTCATTCAACACTTAAGTAATTGTAACTAGCTCATTCTGCTGCTCAAGAGATGAGCTGAATGCCTGGAAAGTGTCAAAGGCACAGCACACATACCTGTGCCAGGTGGACCATACAGAATGACCCCTTTAGGGGGCTTTATACCCATCTCTTCATAGTATTCAGGATGAGTGAGAGGAAGCTCCACAGATTCCTACAGAAAACAAACACCCAGTAAAAATAAAAAGCTTTCTTACTGAAATCATCATCATATTCGTAAATCAGCATTATGAATATATCTTGCTTTCAACAAAAGTAAGCTAAAATTTCAGTTACTCTTGTTGGAGACAATGTGCTTGACTTCGACCAGCAGCAAGGACATACTGAAGAGGACATCTCTCCTACTGGAGCTCCTGGCACCTATTCCCTGTTCCTAACAGCTCCTGATCCTCTTTCACGTCCCAGGAGAAGTTAGCCTTGAGAAACAAGCCCTTTCTCAGTAAATGGACTTTAAAAAGTTACAATTCACCCTTTTCAAATTAAACTAGACAGAAGCTGGCAAGATTTTCTGATTGCTGTTACCATCTGGGCCATTCTGCAGCTGTCTGTGAGGTCACCAGTGGACATCTGTGACAGCTTGGAATGACTTCCCTACAGATGAAAGAACCTGCAGAGGGCTGGCCCACAGCCATCCTAAATGACCACTTCCTAGCAAACCCAGGACGCGAGCAGGGGCTGGGATTACGTCCAAGTGTGGAAGTGTGTGTCATTCGTCCTACCCCGTACATCACCGGTGGCTTCCAGAGAGCCACAGCGGAAATCAACATGACTGGAAACTATAAGCACACAGCACTAGTAAACGTGTAAAAAGTATAAGCTGCAGCTGCCGCAAGAACTGTCATGCATTGTGTTATTTCTATTACCTACGCCTTATCAGCAAATACAAAACACAACTGGCAAGCTCTGAATCAGTTACTGGTCTGATCAATAATGAAAAAAAAAACACCCCAAAACATGCAAAACAAGTCCAAGTACCCTAAGCGTAGACATAGTAAGAAACCCATAGTCTAGACACCCAGCGCTGGTTCCTAGACGTACCTTAATTTCCTGGATTTGGTTGTCCAAACCCCCAATGTCAGCATACGTCTCCTGCGGGGCCTTTTCCACTTTCATCACTGTGACTAAGGGATCCGTGTCGTCCATCAGCACCCCTATCACGGCATGCACCTAACAGGGAACATTAAGCTTCAACACAGGAATATGAGGATCACACAATTCATTTACAACAAAGCAGTGCTGATCACCTGTGGAACATCTACGGATGGGTCCGAGAGGAAGGAGAAAGCTGGCTTGAGACACTCGACTTACCTTGTGGTTGAGCAGGACCGAGCAGCCCGGTTCCAGCAGATCCTTGTCTACAAATGAAAGGATGCTGACGTAATGTTCTGAGCCCACAGATGTAGATACAATGGCGTGATTGTCATCAATGATCTCTTCCAAGGTTCCCACTGACATTGGCGTCCCTCGCAGATCATCCACCTTTGACCTTTCTTCCTGTGTAAGAGTATGCCAAGAAGGAAAACCACGTTAGACCTGTGGGTGATGCTGACAGCTCACGAGGTTTACAAAGAAGTTGGTGCTTTTAAGAGACAGCTAATAATAATTCATAAAAACCTGAAAGGTTCAACTACTTGAATTTCATTTATTCATTGACAGTTTTAGGGATTAAATAGAATTCAGTTTGTAAAATTGAAAGTTACAGTAATTTCTTAATTTACCTCTTGCTTTTCTTCTAAAGGTTTCATTTGTTCCTGATTTCTAATGAATTCTTCTTCCATAAGAAGGTAGTCTTTAATTCTCTCTAACTTCAATAATTTTAACCGGCACTGAGTGTGAGGTGTCACTGTAATTAAAAAAATAAAGTTATATTCTACTTGAAGCTTTAAGTTAGCAATTCAGTTTATTATTGAGAAAAAAAGACTTAAAATAAGCTTATTTTAGTTGGACAGACTCAGAAAAATTAAAAGTTTGGTGACCCTAAGTAAGCAGGTGCCTAATTGCAAAAAAGGGGATTTGGGCAGTTATAAGAATGTAAAAATGGGATGAAGTCCATGACCAAACAGCTAACATACAATGAATTATACCTACTGACCTGCCTCTATACGTAAGTAATAAAGTCATAGACCCAAAAGGTAGTTTGCTTTGGCTTTTATTGTTCCCGACCGGTGCTAATAAGATGGATACTTGTGCTGTTCAGCATAAGTTGTTGCACATTAGCTATAACACACTCTCCGTTTACAGGAATGTGAAATACTAGAGATATTAACATATGTGACATTTTTCCTACATTCTTTTGTGGCTTTTTTTTTTTGACTTCTTATGCTACACATGGATTTTAAACATTTATATAGATAAACCTCTTAATCTTTTCCTTTGTAGTTTCTGGGATTCTTGACTTCTTCAAAAGGTTTCTCTTCCCCTAAGGTTAATACATTTATTCCTGAATTTTCACTTACTTATTTTCATATGTAGATCTATAATCCATCTGGCAAAAAGGGGTCTAATTTCATTTTCTTTCAATAGCAAATAAAAGATGCCAGCCATTTACATTAAATAACCCATCCTCTTCCCACTAAAATATAGCTTTTACCATACATTATTTATCTATATAACTTGACTGTTTTTGGACTTTGTGCTCTTCTAGTGACCTGATGATCTACTCTTTATCAATACCATATTGATTCATTACAGTAGATTAATGGCACGTTTTTTACTGACTCCCTTCTCTTAACCAAGCAATATTTTGAAAATTATTTCATCTAAGTAGGAAGGGACTAGTTTAGGTAAGGGTATTTGAGGTATTTGAGCTGAAGCCTGAAGGGATGAGAAGCAGGCAGCCATGGGAAGGAATAGGGAAGAACATTTTGAAGCAGAGGGAAGCAGAAGACATGGGCACAGCCCTGATGTGAAGAAGAATCAAAGAGCACAAGACAGGGCAGCAAGCAAGACCAGCAAAGGGGTGGTGGGGCTAAGGATGGACACATGGGCTGGGTCGGGTCACCTGGTTTGAGTTTGATTCTAAGTTCATTAGGAAGCCACTGAAAAATTTTATGTTCAAGTACCACACGATTTGAATTCCAATACATTTATTCATGAAATGAGTGCGTTTCTAGGTTACTCAAGCTCAGCCTGAGTTTTCTAATCTAAGACTGTACTTTTAATACGCTAGAAAAACTGGAGTTTCTTAAACTAAGATAGTCGTACACTGTTAAAAGAAAATATAGCTTTGATTCCAACTTAGAGGAATGCCTTGCACAAGAGTTAGATACAGTCACAGAGCTAGAGCTTCAGCCACGCCCTGTTCCCTGTCTCCACAGTCCCGCCTCTAAGCTCCAGGTACACAGCTGATTCCCCTAGGACTCGGAAAGACAGCAAGGAAGAACCGTGTTGTTACCCAGTGGCAGTTTGCTGGCAGCATCTGGTCCCTTTGTTTTCTTCTTCTTTTTCCCCACTCTAGTTGGTACAGGAGGTTCATATTTCTTTTTCTTGTCCTTGAGTTTTCAGAACAGCAGGGGAAATCAATCACACAGGAATCATATTAAAACATAAACATTCCTTAGGACCATTATCTATTTCCAAGTGATATAATTTTCCTTATCTTTTAGGATGCTATTAAAAACTGTCCTTTAAAAAAAAATGAGGTTTTACATTCCTGCAATTTTAATATGTGAATGTAACTGATCTTATTATTATATACAATGGTAGGTTGTTCAATAAGGAATATAAAAATCAGAATTCAGAGTTACATGCCAAAAGTCTGAGTTGATATAATGAGACAATTCTTCACATCTCGGGATATTAAACACTACAATTACAAGCAAGTTATTTTAACACTTCTGTAATGTTACTAATTTTACACATTTAAAAATCATTAATTTGTCGATACCTATTTGACAGGTTTTTCTAAAATATGAAAAGGGTACGGTATCTGCAGGCCACACTGGTTAAATAACTATAGAATCATTTGTTTTGCAAATGATCATTTAAATCATTTTAAGCTTCACGAATCCCCAAAGAACTTCCCGAGATCTATGACATTTCCCACAACTTGCTCACATCACAGACATATCTGGCTTATTTACCTTGTCATCCTTCTTGCCACCTCCGGGACCATGACCACCACTCTGACTTTGACCCTGGGGGAAAAAAGTCAGAGCTGTAAATTCAGAATATGGTCACTTCAAAAGAACATCTTTTTAACTTCTTGTGATTTGGGGGTCACCAGCACTTCCTCCCTCATTTCAATATTTCTGAACTCAAGATGTACCTACAGTCACTGTGCACATTTAGCACAGTAGAAATTCTTTTCTGAAAAGCTGTTATTAGCAGAGCAATGGCGCACCTTATAATTGACTGCACCTTAAATCAAGGACAACTCTGTCAATAGATAATAACTAATGTACCTTAATGAGGCTAAGATTCTAAGACCCTTCCCTCCTTGAGAGGAAAGTATAGAGTTCAGCATTCTTTAATATAAAACTACCTGAGGCCATCCGAGAGTTTATTTTGTGGAATTAGACCAGGAAAGTGAAATCCTTACTCCTTCCTAAGATCACACCAAGATCCAAAAGACTTCCCTGTTAACAGCAATTTATACACCCCCATCTCTAAAGCCTGGGGCGCTTTGGGCTGGTCTTTTTTCCTCAATCTGAAAAGTTGAATCACCTGAAGGTATCAAGAACTGATGTGTATTAAATAATAATCAGCTCAGTGGGATTTCTGATTTTAAAAGACCCTTCAGTTATAGGACAACACGTAACACAGAGCAATGTCTCAGAAATGATGGCATTTTAAATGAGTAACAGTGAACTTATTTTATTGGGGGGCCCTGTCAGTCCCCTCAAATCACTTCTAGTTACCTCTAATACACTGCCAGCTTCACTATCATGACAAAACTACTATATCTTGGTTACGTAAAAGAGTTAAGGTCAAATACATTTCCCTATGTGCAGGATTCTTAAAACTTCGTGCCTTATAATGAAAAAGGTAATTAAGGTCTCTGAGAAATTTTGGGAAGCAGTTATACTATAATAGCCTGTCCAAATTATAGGTCTTTATCAATTACTTATACCCCCTAAGGCAATCTGCTGTTGGCTGAGGCAGCTGTTTGTGGGGTGCTCGCTACATGCCCAAGTCTGTACTAGACATTTTCCTTCACTGTCTCATTATTCCACACAATCCTTCAAGGCAGGGTTCTTTATTCCCACTTTCTAGAAGAGGAACTGCAACGAGCCTAAGAACATGGGTTATGGAATCGGGCGCCTCCAGGTTTGAATTCGGACTCCATTATAAATAGGCTAGCTGACCTCAGGTAAGCCTTGGTGTTCCTGACTAGGGATACTGGCTCCTAAATATTACTGAAAATCAGGCAACATACGTAAACCGCTTCCTGTTTACATGACTCCTAGTAACTACTGCCCAACATTGTGTTGTTAGTGAATAAGAAATGTCGGGGTCAGGATTTAATTGTTGGTCTGGATACAAATCTGGACTCTGAGACAAAGCCATCCTGGTGTAGCTCACTCTCATCTATCCCCTATCTGTTTTTGTCCAGGGCATCGTATCTTATTAGGACTTGGCCTCCCAACTGAGATCCCCATGTCCAGTTTCTCCTTGTCAGTCCAGCTATTCTCCTTTAAAACAAACAGCCGATCCTTTATTCTCCTTAAAAACCTTCATTGCTCCCCAGCATTTATAGTGTACTGTCCGATCTCTTTAGCTTAGCATGCCTGGCCCTCACCAAACTGGCTGCAGGCTCATCTACTTTTCAGATGGACTTTCCAGGTTCCTCTACTTTTCTCATGATCCTGTAAGTCTTGTTCCACTGGAGGACGTTCTGAACAGGTCCCGAACTTTATGTCTGGGGCATTTTACATGATGTTTCCTAGTCTCAAATAACAAGTATACCCATTATTGAGCCCTTGCTATATGCCAAGCAGTGTGCTAAACATTCTCAGGGTATCATCTTACTTAATTCTTACAGACACTGTGAGGTTGGTACTATCATTAGCTCTAATTTACAGATAAAAAACCAAGGCCCAGAGAAGTTACGTAATGCCTATTGTCACAAAGCTTGTCAGAGACGTAGCCAGGAATCACACTCAGGACTACTGGACACCAATATCTGTGCTCCTCTACTGCATGGAAATCTAATGCATCATAGCAGGGGCTCTAGAAAAGACTAACAGGGTTTGTGTTCGAGCACAGCCACTTATTGTGTCTCGGTCTCCTCCCTGGTAAGTGAGGATAATACTACTTCAAGGGACTATTGTGAGGAATATTGAGAAAATGCTGGAAAAGTACCTGGCACATTCTTATCAAGCTTAGATTATTATCCCAAGACCTCTGAGTCTATGTGATTTGGTCTTCTTGCTGTTCACAATACAGGCTAAACAGCCCTATCTCAGGCTCTTTGCACTTGCTGTTCCTTTTCTCTGGACCTGTTTCCCTCAGATATTTGCATAGGATACTTTCACTTTATTTGGCTCTTTGCTCAAACCTCATATCCTCAGAAGGACCTTCGCTGATACCCTATGTAAAATAGCCACCCCTTCACATTCTATGCTTTCTTATAAAACAGACATAACAATGGCCACGCCATCCATCTCCGCCCCATTCCCTGACAATATTACATATTTCTTTCTGTATTTTTTGTGCCTTATCTAGAATGTAAGTTCCATGAAGGCAGAGACCAGCAACCATGCTCACCTCCTATATCCTCAGTGCCTAGAAGAGAACCCGCCCCCCTCAAAATGCAGGTGCTCAATACATATTTGCTTATGAGAGAATAAACGCCAGGTGTTATTATTCCTAATGCACCAGGGGACCTTTCCCTCCGAGTTTTACCTGTTATAAAAGCGTCAGTCTTTAAGGATTCCTTCAAAGGCCCCCCGTCTTCCATGCCTCGGCAATCCCCTCAGCTGGAAAGAAACCCTCCCTCTCTCTAGAGACACAGCCCTCCACCTGAGCGGCTCGGAAAGCATTCGTCCCAGTTACTGAAGGAGGCTCCGCTGAAACTCCCGGCACTGCTCAGCGGAGACCTGGTCAGCGGAGAGCAAAGCTGGGCATCCTGACCCGCTCTGCAGCCCCAGTGGCCCTCCTGGGAGACGCTTCGTGCAGAGCCCCGGCCCCAGGTCCCCCGAGCCAGGCCCGCTGGTCGGACCCAGCCCGCGGGGGACCTGAAGGCCGTCTCCGGGGGCCTCCGTCCCCCGCGGAGGCCGAGGCGGCGGGCGAGGAAGCGACGGACCCCATGCCTAGGGCAGCCATCTCGTCCCCTGGTCTCGGGCCACCCCGACACGGTCACACCGCGACCCTCAGCCGAAACCCTTAGTCACTCACCATCTTGATTCGGCTGCTTGAGCCGCCGCTGCCGGAAGTGAATTGGCCACGGCGGTCCGTCAGAGGCGGAAGTTGCCGAGGGTCGCTACGGCGGCCGATAGGAGCCAAATCCCGCACGGACGGAGTCGCGCGCCAAGGCTTCGTGCCGGCGGGTTGCGACAACGATATATGATAAGATGTGGACGTTATATTTTACTTGAAAAAAGTTTTGATTTGCAGTTATTAGGCTTTTGTCAACAACAAGAGAGCCGAGTCATAGAAGATCGCTCCGAGTCGGGTATTTGAAGGAGGCCTTAAAGACTGACGCTTCTACAGCAGGTGGAATTCGGAGGGAAAGGTCCCGTGGAGCATTAGTAGTAATAAAAACAGCTGGCATTTATTCGTTAGTTCAGTAAGCAGATAGTTATTGACCACCTGCGTTTTGATGGGGGCGGGCCTGTTCTTGGCAATGACCTCGACTGTCAAAGAACCAAGACAATTGTGAAAATATAAAATGTTTTAAACATGCAAAAGTCATAACTGGGAAGAACTTTACTTATTGCTCCAAGAATTGGAATGGCATTTGGAGCTGCGAAATTGACATATATTTTTGCATCAACTTCTAACTTATTATTTGGTCTCTAATTAATCTGCTCATCTGAGAACATTTGTTTATCTAATGAATTACCTAAATCTGTTTTTTACTCATGACTTGTGATGATGTCAAATGTTGTTTTAAAATCCTCATCTTGCATCTAGTTGTTAAAGTTCATCATTTATTACATCCACCAGGACACTGGAAAAATGGCAAGCGTTTCTTTGGCCTCTGGAAACTTCCATAACAGGTGCTCGAAACACTGTAACTTCCTGAACTGGAGAAATGGATCTCTTTGATCTTATTTTTTGCTGCTCAAGATTAATTTAGGCATTTTAGCTATGAAACACTCAAAATATTTCACTAACACACAACAGGTGCAAAATACAGGAAATTTTTCGTTTTCATCATCACTAAAATACTGAAAGTCTTTCTACACCAGAAAGTCTTGACACTGTCGACCTCCACTAACAGATCTGGCATGTACGTGATACATGAAATGATATGATGGGTTAGGTGCGACAACTCACCGTGAACGTTGACAGCAGTGCTGGTGATTTGTATGGAAAGTCTAGGCAATCTGTGTGAACCTGAAGGTGTCACATTCAAAGAAAAGGCTAATTATCAAAACTTAAAAATATTTAAATTCTGGGGGACATGCTTTAAGAAGTGCCTTCTTAATGCACAGCAAATAATGCACAGAAAAGTTTGTCTCTTTTCTCCCTGTGGCTGACTCTCAGTATTCTCCACACGTTTGAGAGTCATCTCTGAAACCCTCCCTCTTGCAGCTTCCAACCTCCCCAAGTGCCAAGTGCCCCAGAAGTCTCTAATCCCCTCCCTGCTTTCTCTTAGCTTTCATTATGTGAATAGACTTTGTTTTCCTAGCTACGTTTTACCAGTTTCTTGGATTTCCCTGACAAAAGGGGCACAGACACTGACCCAGTCATGGAATATCCTTCTGTCTTAGCAGAAGTGGAGCTGGGAAGAGGATGGGAGGCTATGAAGAGTCACATTGATTACTTTTGTCTTGGTTACATGTGGAAACAATACTTTTTTTTTGCAATTTGCCTAGGCTTTGTTGAGTATATCCAAGAATTTAAACACAATATTGACTTTTGCAATAATGTCTACATATGTTTATAAATATGTATAGCTATATATATATTTATACATATGCTTGTGTTTGAGTATGTGTGTATATTCTCTTATCTCTGTGTATGTATCTATATATCTATACACACAGGCAGAGACATCCTACAAGCATCTAAAACTGAACTTAGCATTTCCTCGAGACCCATGTTCACCCTCACATGTGTTCTATCCTGTCTAATGATACTATGCAGATTCATAAGCCAGAATCCTCCCCTCTTCTCTCTCCCATCCCCAACCAGCTCAGTGATCAAATCTCATCACTTTAACTCCTCCATGTTTCAACATCCCACCTCTCTTTCCATTGCTGCCTAGTTCAGACCTTGTTATCCTATCTCATGATTCATTCATTAAATAATTTCTGAGCACTTACCATTGGCAGGGTCTGAGGATACAGCAGTGAACAAGCAGACAAAAATCCTTTCCCTAATAGATTTTACAATAAACAAGTAATAAGGAAAATATATAGACTGTCACATGATGATAAATGCCATGGAGAAGATTAAACAGAGAAGGATAGGGATCATGCAGCCATGGTGGTGTTGAGGTGGTTTTGACCTTACATAGGCTGATATCTGAGCAAAAACCTAAAGGAGTGCAAGGGCTATTCAGATATCTGGGGGCGGGAGGGTGGGGGACAGTTTTTCAAGCAGGGGGAGCACCAGTGCAAAGGTCCTGAGGTGGAAGCTGTAGGGGACGGAGACTAGAGACACCCCATGTGGCCAGGAAGTCAAAAATAGACGTGTAACTCCTATGGAAGCTCAGGGGTTAGAGTCAAAGCAATATAACCCGGCAGTAAAGAAAGTTGCAGATTATGGCATCGAAACCACTGGGGCTGAATCTGGACTCCATCACTTAATAGCTGTATTGGTTTCCTATTGATATTATTAGAAATTACCACAAATTAAGAGTATTCCTTTCTGGAGGCTCTAGAGAGAGCCCATTTCCCTATCTTTTCCAGTTTCTAGAGGCCACCTGTATTCTTTGGCTTGTAGATGCCTTCTTTCTTCCATCCTCAAAGCCAGCAACATTGCATCTTTTTGACTTTGCTTCCAATATCACATCTCTTTCTCTGAGCCTCTTCTGCCTCCCTCTTCCACTTTTGAGGACCCTGACAATTATATTAGTTCCACCGAGACAACCCAGGATAATCTCCCTACCTTAAGGTCAATTATTAGCATCCAGATTTCCATCTGCAACCTTAGGTCCCCATTACCATGCAACCTAACATACTCACAAGTTTCAGAGATTAGGACATAGACATCTTTGTATATGGGCGGGGCGGGGGGATCATTATTCTGCCTAACGCACTAGCTATTCAAACGTGGGCATGTTATCTCCCACTTTGTGCTTTTTTTTTTTTTTTTAAGTCATGAAGGAACGATCTGGCATTTCCCCAAAAGGTTGAACATAGAGTTACCCTTTTGACCCAGAAATTCTATTTCTAGGTATACACCCAGGAGAAATGAAAATGTTTGTCCACACATAACTTGTATGTGAATGTTCAGTGTTATTCATCATATCCAAAAACGTGTAAATAATCTAAATGTCCATTGACTGATGAATGAATAAACACAATGTAGTCTATCCATAAAATGGAATATTATTCAGACATAAAAGGAACAAAGAACTGATACATATAACATGAATGAAAATGTTCTAAAATTTACTGTGGTGATGGCTGTACGAATCTGTGAATACAGGTTTCCCCTCCTATATGAAAGTAGAAATTCTATGAAAACTTTCGTAAGCCAAAATGGTGTAAAGTGAAGAAGCAATTACCTTAGGACACATGATGCTATTTTCACTTTTCACCCTTTTTTACATAAAAATGAGAATCTTCTTCCGAGTTCTTTTGGTTAGCAAAAACAGGCACTAATGTACGTCTTTTATAAAGGTGAAGCGGCGTAAAGCAAACTTTCAGAACGTGGGCATACCCGTAGACTAGAAAACATTGAATTACACACTTTAAATGGGTAAATTGTATGGTTGCGAATTATGTGTTACGAAAGCTGTTACATTAAAAAAAAAAAGTTGGGGCAGTGTAGTCTGATGGTTAAGAGCACAGACTCCGTAGCCAGGCTGCCTGGGTTTGACCCCCAGCTTGCCATTCACATAGTATATGCGTGTATGACCCCAGACATCAGTTTTTCCATCTGTAAGCTGGTGCACTAATAGACGCTACTCACAGAACTCCTTGAAATAACAAACGAAGTGACATTTGTTAAATACTTACAACAGTAGCTGGCACGTAGCGGTGCACGACATATGTTTGTTAAATAATTTTTTAAATGAAGCATTTGGGTAAAATGACTCGAAGTTTGATCATCGGTAACCAAAAATAACCCCCAGCTTTAGCGCCCAGGCTACTCCTTACTGTCTGTGTGTCTCCTATGCTTGGCGACAAAGTAGGAATGAATGGCAGCCAGTTTTCTGGGTGATGGAAGGGTGCATGCAGTTCAGACATTCACAGGCAGAGGGAGCCACATGACCAAATACTGCGCAGTGGCCTGATTAGCAGTCCCTCGTGGAGCAGGTCCTGGCTCTTGGGTTCCTGCAGGGTCCTGGGTGCTCTCCCTGACACTTCTTCTCATCCCTTTTCTGGGGTTGGCCCACCCTCTTTCTCACCGTGGCCCTCGAGCCATTTGGCCGAGAAGCCTGGTGTTTGGCCGCTGTCAGTTTCAAACCCTGCCCTCTCAGGCATTGCTTCTGGAATCTCCATTCCGGTGTCACCGAGGCCACCTTTCTTCCCTCTGTCCAGGCTCCACCGGGCTGGTCCACCCCTCACGGACACTGCGCGAGCCCCTCTCGGTGCGGGAACCAGACCACTCCATTGTCCCTGGATCCCTGGTCCCCCCCCCTCCCCCCCCGCTTCCTACCCGCAACCCTTACTTATTTCTGCCCCCCATCCCTCACCTCCGGGACCTGATCCTCAACGATGAACTAAATCTGAAGACTTTGATTCCACCTACCGAGTGCCCACTACCCACCTTCTTAGATGGGATCAGATGACCCACGACAAAGCTTTGAGTTTAGTGCGTTACCCTCATTTTGCAGATGAGAAATGGGGGGGCTCGGAGATGTTCAGAGGCCTGCTGGAGATTTTACAGCTGAGGGTCTGTCAGGTCTCAGACACTCTGGCTCCCAAACTTTATTTCCATCGCCTCTTTGTCTCAAGAAAATCCAGAATGCTTTCCAACTGGGGTGCACCCTAAAGTTCGCATCCTGCAACTTGGGGGCAACTCCCTACCTGGAGTGCCCCAGCGCCTCAGCCGGCCCCTGGGGAGCCCCGTGACCTCTGCGTGGGGACACTTCTACCCAGCTTCCTTCTGCTTAACCTTCAGGTCTCAGCTTAAAGA